TATCGACAGGGCCAGGCGGAGCCGGGTTTGTCAGCTAGTTCGATATAGTTGTGAGACAGTTTAACAATATTTTTGAAAACGGTCATTACCGCCGCTTTTGTGTAGCTACGGACATTGCGCCAGCCACGCAACAATTCACCACTTTTTCCTGGAAATTTGTCCTTGGGACTTTTTCTCGCGTACTGAGATCGTTTATAACGCTAGTGACTTTATAGCTGCAGTCGCCGAACATTCTTGCAGAGTGCAGATATTGGCTCACTTCTGCGTAGAGTGGAGTGGCTATATGCTGTCTAAAATCGTTTGTGCTAGTGTTTGTGTTGGTTTTTTATTCTTGTAGTTCTGATCAGGAATATTTTGATAATGTTTTATCATGCATTTGCCTTAGTCATCCTGCTCCTAGTCCATCGATATATGTTTGCTATTTAGATATAATTTTTTTCAGCATCGATCTGCATTGTCCGTTTGCAATAAATCACTGCTGCTGGACGGTTAATTCGGAAAGTTCATTGATCGATGGTGAGTTTTTATTCTAACAAACTTTTACATATCCCTAGGGCTTTTATCTAAATAAACATGTGTTTATTACCCTTTGCCCGGAAGATGAATTCTCAGTCATGCTCTTATTTGGTGAGTCAAAACTTTCAGGTTTTCATACCTGTAGTCTTTCTGCACGAGTTGATATCTGCCATACTCGGTATCTTATTTGTTTCAAATCATGTTCTTGTTTGATTTAGGCTCTTTTTGGGTTTGGGCAATCAGCTGATATCACTATAAAGTTGGATGACGAAGAAACGCGAAAAGTAGGTTTCATGCTTTTTGATGTTTTTGATCCCAAAATTAAATTTCGACTTCTTCAAGACTGCAAAGATACGAGGCGAAGATGGCCAGCAAGAAACTCATTACTTGTTCTACGATGGCGAAACCATCTCCGGTACTGTGAATGTCGCTCTAAAGAAGGCTAATCAAAAACTTGAGCATCAGGGCATAAGGATTGAGTTCATTGGACAAATAGGTAACTTTACACATGCTTCTACTTCTTCCTTTCTTAGTCATTTCGGTTTAGAAGTCTATTACGATCGCGGCAATCAACAAGACTTTATTTCGTTGACGAAAGATTTGGCACGACCTGGCGAACTCACGCAGAATTCCTCGTTCCATTTTGAGTTCCATAATGTCGAAAAGCCATACGAATCTTATATGGGTATTAACGTCAAACTGAGGTAGGATCCTTTGCTTCTCTGAATATATCTATATTCTCCAAGTTTCCATTAGCAACAAGAAGATTGATTTTCCTTTTTCAGATACTTCCTTAGAGTGACTATCGTTCGCCGAATAACAGATATCACCAGAGAGATGGATTTAATTGTGCATACACTTAGCAGTTACCCAGACGCTGACGTGAATTTGAAGATGGATGTAAGTTTTCTCACATGCTCAGTGCCTTCGGTTATTCATTCATCCTGAATTTTTCCAGGTTGGGATAGAAGACTGCCTACACATCGAGTTTGAGTATAATAAAAGCAGGTATGCTGTGGTTATCTTATCTAATTTTTTTACTTTTGAGAACGGTTGTACTTCGTTGTTGGGGGGAAGGGATATGTTAACTTCAACGATTACTATCAACAATTTACACTAATGCAAAAATCGGTGCCAAACTTATACGATCCAACTAGTTCGCCAAGTTCATCCCAT